TGACGGTGAGGCAGGCAGCCAAGCACCCAGCCGCGGGGGGTGGGGGGGTGCTGGCGGTCATGTGGCCGCCCGCCCTGCGTGGGCCAAGGCCCAGCACCTTTCCTCTGCTCTGCCTGGGCCCAGAGACCCGCCCACCGCAGGCAGAGTGACTCAGGCTCCCAGATTCCCTACTGGGCCCTCTGCCTCCTCTCTGGGATGGGCACGGTTCAGATCCCTATTCCACTGCAATGCTGTGGTCAGATTGCATCTGTACCCCCAGTTTCCCTGTTCACACTCCTCAGTGTGCCCCACAGGGGAGCCTCCCTGAACCTCCTTTCCATTTACTCCTTCTGCTCCAGCCACATGGGCCTCCTCCCTGCTCTTATAATGCTCCAGGATCCATCCTGCCCCAGGGCCTTTGCACAGCCCTGCTCTCTCCCTGAAACACCCTTCCCCTAGATACCTGCATGGCTCCCGCTGTTTCACCTGTGTCAAGCCTGTATTGCTCCCCAGCGTCCAGAACAGTGCCTCCTGCCACACATTCGGTGCTTGAGAAATGGGTGGCTGAACAGGTCAACAGGATGGTTGTGAGTTTGAAACATGAGGTCACGCACAGATGTGACCTGCCTATTCCTGTATCTCATATAGGCACTCAACATGAGCTTAGCATTGCTCAGGCAGAGTCCCAGGCTCTGAGAGGAACGGGTGGAGGTGACACTCTCTAGAAGAGAGAATTGTAGACCAAGATGGAGCACAACAGAGCCAGGTGGCTGTAGGAGTGAGACCCCAGCCTGGTGGCCTCAGAGACAGAAAGGGGCAGAGCCAGGATCATGCACAGATCCAGACTCCTTGTGCCAAGTGGGTGATTGGTGAATGAGTGTCCTACCCGTGCCAGCTCACCCTGGGGCCAGGATGCCAACCGCATGCAAAGGGCAGGGCTGGTGGCGCTGCGCTGGGAGGAGGGGTCCGGCGCCGGCCTGATGCCCCTGCCCTGGGCCGTCTCCTTGGAGCCGTCACTGTGTTTGCCAAACAGTTGGGGATCTGAAGAGGGGGCGTCCCCCATCTGTGCATCTCAGCTGGTGCTTCCCAGGTCTGGCAGGGGAACCATGGGCACATCCTCCCTTTCCCCAGGGGCCACAGTCCAGTGTGGTGGGACAAAGCCAGCGAAAACAAAAAATAACAAACACGATGAAAAACAACCCGGCCTGGCCCTTCACGCTCCGTAGCATTTCCCAGAGGTGAAGATGGGCACAGAGAGGGGGCGCCACTCTCCCACTCAGTCCTGGGCTGTTCCTCCCCCTCCGTTCTAGCCACACTGACTCCCACCCCTAGGTCTGGCCCCACAGGACCGCCCCCCCGGTCTTCTGCAGGAGGACGTGAGGGCTACAGGAAGAGCCCATAAGGTGAAATCCAGGAGGGCTGCCTGCAGGAGGAGGCTGCAGCTGGATGTGGGTGGCGGGTGAGCTGGGTCCGGAAGATGGGTACAGGTTGGCGTCCATGGCGTGGAGCTAAATATCTGTAGGGGGCTAGAGGAGGAGGCTGGGAGGCTGGTGGTCGGTCTGAGGGCACTAGGTAGCCATGGAGGTTCTAGAGCAGGGGCAGGGAGGGGCATCTGCCTGACAGGAAGTGATGGGGCTCCCAGAGCTGCCCTCTGGACCAGTTCCCAGGGTGAGGGGCCACCCTGATCTCACGGCCCTGAATTGTGGTTTCCCAACATCCTGCCCGGCCACAGGGGTCTGAGAGGCAGCTGAGGGTGAGGTCAGAGGACAGGAGGGCCCTTGTCCCGCCTCTGTTTCCCGTTACTGACCAGCTGGAGAAACCACAGCCGGACCAGTTGGTGCGTGTCTGGGGGGGTTGGCAGAAGAGGGGACAGCAGATCTCAGGTCACCCCCTTTCGGTCCTGCTCCCAGCCATTTCCAAGAAATTCATTTATATTAAAGTTCAAACGGCTTCTCTAGAGGTAGGTGTGAGGCTGAGCCGTGCTCAACCCAGCCAGCTGGTTAGGAGGGCAGAACCGCTCCTTTTTAGTCTTGAGTGCTGCCTGGGACCCGCTGCCCATGTCCCCGCGGTCAGCCCTCTCAGCCTCCCAGCACCCCAGTTCTGAGACCCGTGCCAGCTGGGAGAGAGGCTGCGAGCCTTGCTTGGATAACACAAAACATGTTTATTCTCCACAGCAAGCATAGCAAGTCGGCCCGGTTGGCACAGTTGGGCATCTCTGAGGGACCCTCAGTTGAGGGCATCTGGTCTGGAGTTGTGTGGAGATTCACTGTTCAAAGCTCCAAACAAGCCAGGCGTGGTGGATGCCAGGTGCATGCCTGTCATCCGAGCACTCGAGAGGCTGAGGCAGGAGGATCCCTGCAAGTTCAAGACCAGAATGGGCTACATAGTGAAACAAACACACAAAAAAACCCCAAAGTAATAATTATAATAATAATAAGCCCCAAACAGAAGCCATGCAGCAAAATGTGGATTTGTTTGTTTTGGTCACTCACACCCCCCAATGCTGAGATTTGAACCCAGGCCCTAATCTCCAGACAACCCCCCCCTTGAGGCAAGCGGCAGAACCACTGAGCTAAACAAATCCCTGGACCCCCAGCCCTTTTTATTTTTAATTTCTAGATGGGGTCTCACTAAGACGCAGAAACGCTCAGGCTGGGCCTTTTTTTTTTGCTGTGCAGCCCAGGCCTTGAACTCCCAGCCATCCTGCTGCTGCTTCTTCCCACAGTGCTGGGGTGACAGACGTGTGCCTGGCCTTTCAGGTTGGGGACAGGGTCACAGGCTTTGAAGACCCCAGCTCAGAGGCACAGATGACCAGAGGAGCTTGAGGCCAGGTCCTGGTGATCTAGGGAAAAGGGGGAGGCCCGGACAGCGAGCAGGACGGCAGAGATTCCCAGTTCCGCCCCACCTCAGCTCTGACCCTAAGTCGGGGCCAGTCCTCTGCCATGCGTGCTCACGCGTGGCCGCCAGGAGGCGCACGGCCCCGGCCTCTCAGAAGTCCAGCTCGGGCATCAGCGCGTGCCTGACGGGGCGC